TACAAACCTAATGGCCATCGACTGTCATCTTCGGTAACCATATCCACGCCTGAGAACAGATTCTTTGCGAACTCATCGGTAGTGTCTGAGAGGGGGAACCGACCCGACATTCCCGACACCACTATATCGTCGGGCTTTTTAGGCATTATAAGTTTGGTTTACCTTTACAGTGAGATTATATATTATAAACTATATATCTATTAAAATATGAATTAATCCAATACCCTTTAGAATTCAACTAAATGAGAGACCTCAAAACAAGCGAGCGAGCAATAGGGAGGTGGGAGGGTAGTTAAAACTATAGAAAGAATGGTAGAAGGGATGGGAGATGGAGAGGGTACAGTGTTTGTGAATAGTTTGCCAAATAAAAAGGTTGTAAATAAAGTACGAAGGGTTGAAAGATGTTATTATTCCCTCATAGCTTTATAATGTAAAGAGAAGCGAGAGTTTGATTAATTTGAGAATCTCTTTAGTTTGAGAAGCGATTTCCGCCGACTCTTCAAAACTGGATCTCAATTAAAAGAATGTGTTATATATTTAACATAAAATGGTTAAACGTTCGAAAAGTTTAATTGTAGCTTGCTTAATTATAGCAAAGTTTGATTTACAAAGAGTTTCCAATGATTTATTGGTATTCAATATTTTAATATTTACTTTACATGTATGTAATAAGAAATTTGTGAAATACACTACTTTTAAACTCAAACTACCGGTTCTCAGAGCCCATAACCATGGCTTATATACCCTTTCAATAACTAATGTAAACGTATTGTAGAATCTAACTCCCAAGGAATTTCTCAAATCTGATATAATCGATAAAAATTATATCAAAATTAAGAAATTTAGTATCAGTTATGTACGTTTTTTTATATAGTGAACAACATTTATATAAATTTTAATTATACTTATAATGATAATTTATTTCGTAAATTTAAAAACATAAAATTTTTTAATATAAAATTTTTGGCATTCTACTCATTAAAATTAAACTTTATTCTTTTTACATATGTTTGCGAAAACATATTTTTGAAGAGAAAAGTGATTTTTATCAAAATAACTTTTAGTTATGTTATATTCTAAGGAGAAATGCTTTTTACAAAGCCCAGTTTTGCATATGCCCAAGGTCTAAACTATAAGCAGGCAGAATTTACACCTCAGTACACTCAGACTATAACTCTTGTGTTGTAATTTATACAATATTCATATGTTAGTCACATATAGTGTACTCTAATATAAAATTTATATTTGTGATTCAATAACTACGTCATATTAATAATGTCCCCTATTTTATTCTGTCGGGGTTTAGTCTAAACCAAGAGTGATCAAATAGGCTGAAAAGCTAGACTGGCAACACTATGCCCCATAAAAAATACATTATAACAATGCCCGCCAATGCCCAATTATGCTCGCTTTGCTCTTCTATGGTCTAAACTCTTGTACATTTGATTCATTTAATATTAAAATTCAAGATACAGTCTGCCCCCGGTTTTGACACATGTGATTTTAACAAATTTCCGTTTTAACATATGTTTTTAATAGCACCGCTGAGTCATATTAGTACTGTTTTAACAGAATTTGATCTTAACACTTTTTTATAACACCGATGACATGTCAAAACCGGGGGCAGACTGTATATTATTCAAGATAATAATATTATGTACATATTATGTACATGTATTAAATATGAAAATACCTATTGACTGCAAATCCATCACATGTATTGAATGACTATTTGATTTAAAATTCACATTTTTTATTTAAACATTAAATTTGATTAAAATAATGATTGTATGAACACGTTATCAACTCATGTTTTATATTTAATTTAGTAGAGACTATTTATTAGTGTTTATTATATTTGTTAAATCTAATTTCAGTTTTAATATACAGTTTTATTATGTAAAGTATAATAAAAAAAATTATAAAATATAAACGCCTTTATATAGGGATGGACTGAATAGCATAAATGCATTTGCATTTTGCATTTTGCATTTTGCATTTTGCATTTTGCATTTATGCATTTGCATTTTGCATTTTGCATTTTGCATTTATGCATTTGCATTTTGCATTTATGCATTTGCTTTTTCGAATTTATTTGCATTTTTGCATTTACATATATGATTATATTTTACAGTTTTAATTAATATAATTTATAAATATACACAACTATATTACAACAATATAAGAATTATAATTATTTTAATGACACCATGATCGTTAATACGAATTATAAACATGTACATAATTATTACACAAATGTTTATTTGCAATTTTAGTATTAAAATAACCTAGACAGGTTTTTACTCCGAGTCCTCTGGTTTTCCTGTCTAAGTTATAATCATTTGATTATATATTTTATTTTATTTTAAACACAATATTTATTATAATTTTTATTAATTATTTTATATATGCTACTTATATTTGTAATTTGCGTATTGACATTTTATCATTATATCATGTATATTATTTTAATTATTATACTTAATAAAAATTAATTAAAAAATATAAACTTGTAATTATTAATAAAGTATTAATATAAATATTTTAAATAACGTAAATAAATATATAACTTATAATAATTTATGAAGTAAACATATATTTTTATTTAATTCAACATCTAATGTTGTTTGATAGACATTAAATAATATAGTATTAAATTATATTAATTAAAACTGTAAAATATAATCATATATATGTAAATGCAAAAATGCAAAAATGCAATTGCATAAATGCAAATGCATAAATGCAAAAATGCAATTGCATTTATGCTATTCAGTCCATCCCCTTTATATAAATTGACCCATTCATATTAATAGTTGGTAAATACATTTTTTGCTTTGATGTAATAAAAATAAAAATTATAAAATCACGATGTAAATTATTTTAAGTTACAGTAGTTAAATATAGCTACATGTACATAAAATTGCAACACGATTGGTAATTAGTTGGCCATTATCTGTGATCTTCCGATACCGGCCTCAGTCGAGTGCTTTAGAGCGGGGAATACCTGAGTCTTACATCAATCGTGCCCTTCAGTGCCGGCGGAGCCTTAGATCCGTAGCCCAGGTGTATAGGACTGCACTCCCTCTGGGACCGCAGTTTTCGGTGTATTGTCACCGGTTGTTGTGATTAATGAGTTTTTATTAATAAAAATAGGTTTTTATTCAAATACACGGTTTTAATTGTAAAGTTTTATCAAATATTGCCACAAAAAAACAAGGATCACACAGCGATGCTATACGTTAACCACAATT